CTGAACAATAAAGATATAATTTAAAAAAAATAATAAAACAGAAAAAAAAACGCATGAAAGAAACACCCAACATCATCAGTCATTAGGGAAATATAAATCAAAACCACAATGAGATACTCTCTAGCATGTCTATAATAACAAAGACATGTAACAATAAGAAGTGTTGGCAAGAATGTGGAGAAATTAGAATCCTTATACACTGCTAATGGGAATATAAAATGATACAGCCACTTTGGGAAATAAGTTGGCTATGTTTTAAAGGTTAAACATAAGCTGACCATATAAGAAACCTATCCAAGAAGAGTGAAAACTTATGTCCACACAAGTCTGCTTGGATGAGCAAGTTCATTTGTCACACTAACCAAAACCTGGCAACAATCCAAATATCATCCACAGGTGAATAAGAAAAATGTGGCATATTCATAAAATGCCACACTATTCAGCTTTTAAAAGAAATAGAATATGGATGAACCTCAAAAACATCATGGACAAAGCAGACACAAAAACTGCATATTATATGATCTCTTTTATGAAATGTCCAGAAAGGCAAATTCATAAACACAGCAAGCACATCAGTCTGGTGTTTCCATGGAAGCACGCACTGACTTCACATGGGCGTGAGGGAAACTTTTGGGTAATAGAAAACGTTCTAAAACTGGACTGCTGCTGTGAAATGACATATTTATTGAGAATTGGTAACCTGTATATTCACAGTGGGTGGATTTATGGCAGGTACTGTAAGTTATTGCTATACTACCACAGACGTGTCAAAGGTGCCAGAGTAAGGGATAAAGGGAATCAATTCTGCCTGTATAACTGGGCAGAGAGGGACAGTGAGGCAGAAAGGATCACACAGATTTATTTCTTCAGCAAATATTTATTGTCTACTTTGTTCTAGGTGCCTAAAATTAATATTAAAGCATGGGGTGGTTCACCAGGAGAGGAGGGAAGGGCACTGACGCACAGGACCCAGGATGTGCCATCGCACGGCTAGGGATGTGGTCCCAGTGTTCAGGGAGCCCTACTGCTGGAGGTACACAGAAGGATGACCGGGGATGGCCATTAAAAGGTCAAGGTGAAAAATCATAAGTGACATTCACTGTTTCATTTAATTATTTGTAAGACATAGGTATTTTCATTGGTATAGATGAAACTGAGGTTATATAAAGCATTTGCCTTCCCAAAATGAGTCCTGTAACAGTATCTACTGATTGTGGTGGTTATGGGAGTCACAGTGCCTGGCATGTACTAAGTGCTGTAAAAACATTTGCCATTATTTTTATTATTACTATGATGGTGTCATAGGGTCTGTTTATTAAATTTTTTTTTAATATATTTTATTGATTTTTTTACAGAGAGGAAGGGAGAGAGATAGAGAGTTAGACACATCAATGAGAGAGAAACATCGATCAGCTGCCTCCTGCACATCTCCCATGGGAGATGTGCCCGCAACCCAGGTACATGCCCTTGACCGGAATCAAACCCGGGACCCTTCAGTCCGCAAGCCGACGCTCTATCCACTGAGCCAAACCAGTTTCGGCCTGTTTATTAAATTTTACAGACTACCCAGAAAGCTATCCACAATGAATCAAGAGATATAAAAAAGATGTGCCTTCTTCTTTTGCAGGAACAATACATGGGGTGTGTTGCTCACCCTCACAGCATGGACTCAGACACTGCAGCTCTCTCTTTTCCAGAAATACCTTTATAGCCCTTCCTTAAACTGTCTAAAGCTCTCTTCCTTAGGACACCAATTTCACAGTGCAGACAAAGGGGGGACTGCCCTGGCTGGTTTGGCTCAGTACATAGAGCGTCAGCCTGGGGACTGTAGGGTCCCAGGTTTGATTCCAGTCAAGGGCACATGTCTGGGTTGCGGGCTCAATCCCCAGTAGGGGGCATGCAGGAGGCAGCCGATCCATGATTCTCTCTCATCATTGATGTTTCTATCTCTTCCCCTTCCTCTCTGAAGTCAATAAAAATATATTAAAAACAATAATAACAGGGGTTTCCATGAAGGTTAAACAAGTTAACTCAGAAGGCATAGACTGCCCAAACTGTGAACACCTCAAAGTTCTGCAGGACTGGCTTTCTACTGGCTCCTGAGAGAGAACCTGAGCCCTTGGACTATCCTGCAGAGAAGAGGGATTTGTATGCTAGAGGCTCTGGGCCATGCACCAGACCATGCACGCCAGCAAGGTGAGTTATGGTGCATGCCTGTTTTCCTAGGCCAGAGGTCTCAGTTTGATCGCTGTGGGGCTGGAGATTGAGTTGCTGAGGTCAGCCTCATGGGCACTGCACATCCATGCAATAAGACACCCCAATATAAACCCTGGACACCAAGGCTCAGGTGAGCTTCCATGGTTTGCAACACTTTGCATGTGTGGTCACACACTGTCACTGGGTGAATTAAGGGCATTCCCATGCAACTCAACTGGAAAGGAATATGTTAAAGTTTGTGGCTGGTTTCTCCTGGGCCTCACCTTAGGCATCTTTCCCTTTGCTCATCGTTGACTGTATCCTCACCGTAACCGTGAGGAGAGCAGCTTTTTTAAAGTTTTGTGAATATCTCTAGGGCATCATCAAGCCTGAAGGTGATCTTGGGGACCCATGAGGGAAAGTGCTCACAACAGCATCTGGCATCTAATGAGCATTCTACAGGGAGTTCCTATTGCCAAGTGCAGAGAAGCCATTTAAAAGACCTGAGATAGCTAGACAGTGCTATTATTTGTGTCAACCTCTTATCTCAATTTTTTCATTTTCTAAAACATATATTTTTTATTGATTTCAGAGAGGAAGGAAGAGAGATGGAGAGATAGAAACATCAATGATGACAGAGAATCATTGGCTGCCTCCTGCACATCCCCTATGGGAGGGGGCGGAGGGATCAAGCCTGCAACCCAGGCATGTGCCCCTGGCTGGAATCGAACCTGGGACCCATTAGTCCTCAGGCTGATGCTCTATCCACTGAGCCAAACTGGCCAGGGCTCTTATCTCAATTTTCACAGCAGGTTGGCGCTGAGATGATAAACAAGCGCATGCTTGTTCTTTCACCTTGAGCCTGAAGCACACTGGGCTTCATGGCAATGCTTGCGTCAGTTCCTAGCGTGTTCTGCTCTAGCCAGTGAACAAGACTAAGTGAATGAAGGTCTATTTAACAGACAATAGCTGACAGTATTCAGATTGGAAATGGTAACACACACAACGGAGATCTCACAATATAATGCCCACCTTTATTTCCTTTATGTTCGGAAGTGATGCATTTAGAAATTCCTCAGTTAATCTCTTCCAACTGGCAGCTTTACCAAGATCAGAATGAATGATGAATTTTTCATAAATTCTAAAACATATTTTAAAAAATGTACTGATAGTTAGAAAGTTAAATAAAAAGATCTATAAAAATACATATATTTTGAATATGTACATATACTCATATATATAAAACTGACTTACCCTTCTATTGTCTTTTCTACTTTGTGACTGTTGACATCCAAGAAACGATGAAATCTAGAAGACAAAATGCAATTCTTACATCAATCCTGTCATCTAGCTAAGCAGACCGGTATCACTGCCCTCCATGTCTCCGAACACCCTGCACTCAGCTGCACTCAGCAGTGCACCTCTCTCGCTTTTTCACCTCCGCCATCCGAGCAAACAGCCACACATCTCAGAGAGTGCTCAAATAGCCTTCCAGAATGCAGGCCATCCCAAGTCACCCCCACCCTGTCCTCTGGATCCTCTGTCTTCCCATAATGCCCTGTATTTAAGCCCAGCACAGCACATCCTATACTGTTCCGAATTTTTTTATGCTATAATGAAGCCCAGGGAAGAGTCGGGATCCCCTCTCTTAAATCATAAAATGAAATACAAAGGAAACCAAGTATACTGAAATACAGTTGTGAAGTATTTTTAAAAGTCTGTGATAAGTAAGAAACATTCCTTTTTAAAGTATTAAGTAAGATCTAGCAGTGGGTCCATAACTACCATTAAAGTGAGACATAAATAATATTAGAAATATCTGCAACTATAATAGGATGTGAAATGTGATTTCTAATAGTGACACACTTATAGGTAAGCTAATATTGTTTGTTGCTTTCATTCATAATTGAAAGAAATGCTACTTTTTAGTTAAAGGTTAGTGTGAACTTTTTCTTGTCCAAATTTAGAACCTGAATTCTATCCTCAGGCCCTCATGTTAAGAACCCCTATCCTCATCATATATAATTAACTTTCATTTCTTTCTTCCTTAAGGACAGGCACTACATTTCACCTCTCTCTGAAGTTCTAGGGCCTACAACATGGCCACAATTTTAAAAAAGAAAATGCAAATTGTTCATATTTCTGATGGATTAAAGCATCATAAAATTACTAGAGGCCCAGTGCACAGATTCATGCACATTGAAAGGAAATAAATTAGAAGGTGACCGGAGGGGTGAGAAGGGTTGGACACGCCCTGGAGCCAATCTCCCTTGGTCCCTTTCCGGCTGGCCACACCTGGGGCCATGGCTCAAAGAGCGTCTGCAGAGTGAGCAGGGTCCCTTTGGCAGGTGGGGTCCCTTGCCCTGGCCTGTGGGGATCGGGCCAAAACTGGCAGTCAGATTTCCCCCGAGGGATCCTGGAGTGTAAGATGGCACTCTGCAAAGTTGCTGTCGCTCGGCAGCTCCTGCGTTGAGCATCTGCTCCCTGGTGGTCAGTGTGCATCATACCTGCCAGCTAGTTGGCCGGTCGCTTAGCCTTTTATATATATAGACAGTGTAGCTCACTGGCTCTTGTTTTCCACTTTTTTAGTATCAAAGCCAACAATCTGAACTTTGAAGTAAATTGCACTACTAAATAACATTAATTCTATCCCCTAAATGGCTGACTGGAACACTAATTCACCTATTATAATTTAGTTGCTTACTGTATAAAAGGAGGTAGTAACTTCTTAGTCCTTTCCCAACTCTAAAATGATGTCATCCATCTACTTACTGCCATTTAGAAAGATTAATAGAAAAATTATTTTAAATACACATTTTAGTTTCTGTCCTTGCAGTGTTATTTACAGTAACAAAGATAATGGAAGCAACCCAAGTGCCCATGGATAGATGATTAGAGAAAGATGTAGCACATATATACAATGGAATATTACTCGGCAGTAAAAAAGAATGAAATCTTGCCCTGTCCAGGTAGCTAGGTTAGAGTAAGGTAGTGAGTTCAATCTCTGATCACATATAAGAAGCAACCAGTAAATGCATAAACAAGTGGGTCAACAAATCAATGTTTCTCTCTCTCTTAAAAAGAAATCAATAAAATAAAATAATGAAATCTTACCACTTGTAACAATAGCGATGGACCTAGAATGTATTATGCAAAGTGAAAAAGTCAGACAGAGAAAGACAAATACCATATGATTTCACTTATCTTTGGAATCTAAAGAGCAAAATGAACAAATAAAATAGAAACAAACTCAGACAGAGAACAAACTGATGTTTGCCAGAGGGGGATTGGGTGAAAAAGGTGAAAGGGATTAAGAAGCACAAATTGGCAGCTATGAAATAGTCACAGGGATGTAAAGTACAGCATAGGAATCCTATATAATAAAAGGTTAATACGCAAATCAACCGAATGACCGGTTGCTATTACGTGCACTGTCCACCAGGGGGCAGATGCTCAATGCAGGAGCCGGGCTCATGGCTTCAGGCTTGTGATGGTGGCGGGAGCCTCTCTGCCTCCCCGCATCCCCTGAGGCCCCTGGACTGCGAGAGGGCGGAGGTCCGCTGAGGACCCGGGAGTCCGCCTCTAGTCTAGTCAACACCATTGTAATAACTATGCACGGTGCCAGGTGGGCACTAAACTGACGGGGAGATCACTTTGGAAATTACACAAATACCTAACCACTTCTAGTATGCTGTACACTTGAAACTAACAATATTGAATGTCACCTGTAATTGAAAAATAAAAATAAGTGGGGGGAGGAAGAAGAGGTAATAAATGGTGACGGAAGGAGACTTGACTTAAGGTGGTGTATTACAGAATTGTACACCTGAAACCTACATTAGTTTACTAACTAATGTCACCCCAATAAGCTCAATAAAAATAAAAAAGAAAAGCAAAAAATAATTCATTCAATCTGTAAGAAAAACATTCTGTTAAGTTACATCTAAGAACTGAGTTTATTATTTTAGAAACTTGGCGGGCTTTTACCTCGTTGTCTATTCTCATTGTAAACTAAGTAGGAACTTCATGTATGATCATTAAGGTTGAAACTCAAGATCACTGATTTTGAAAAACTGTTCAGTAATTCAAGATTTCTATTGAAATTAGAAAGGAAATAAATGAAATTTCGCCGGAACCGTTCCGGATGCTGGGATGAGACGCGGACAAAACCGCCGGCCCTCCTTCCCCGGCCCGCGCCCCACACCTGAAGTTGGACCAGGCGAAGTGCAGGCAGAGCTGGAAGTTGGGGTCCACGTCGTCCCTGAGGCCCGCCACGTGGCGCACGAGCTCCCGCACGTCGCGCTCCAGCTGCGGGTTGAGCCGGCGCCAGGACGGCTCTGGCCGCGCCATGTTTCTCGGCTCCCCGGCGCCAAGTACCCTCGGGGGTGGCACTCGTTCTCGCGAGAGTTCTCTCCGCCACAGCATTTCGCGTTAGAGGCTGCTCTCGCGAGAGTTCGTGCCCCACGGCGTGTGGTGTGGGAAAGGCTGAGGTTGCTATCGCGATAGGCGGGCGGGTCCTCGCTGGCGGCTGCAGGGTGTGTGTTCCAGTCTCCCCGCGTCCAGTTAGGAGCGTCCTCGGGGAGGTCGCCGCTTTTGTCCATCGGATTAAGCCAGTCCCTGGGTGACCGTGGTTGGTTTCACTGCTGCTGCTTTGAGAGCCGCTGGTAGTTGTCATTCAGTGTCCTCCACCTGCCTCCTCAGGCGCCTTGGCGTGCAGCTATGGAATAGTCACCGGGATGTAAACTACAGCATGGGGTCCTATATAATATTCCTACATAATAAAAGGCCAATTTGCGAGGTGCCCTCTCCCAGCGTTTTCCCCTTGGAGGGGACGTTCCCTCCGCGGGATCGCGGCACTGCAGTCAGCGTGGCGGCGCCGAGCGCTGCGCCTCCTGGTGGCCGGAGAAGGTCTTATTCACCCTGAGCCAAAGCTGTCGTCTTTGCTGTTCGTAATTAAAACTGTACCTTTAAATTTTGTTAATTATTGCGCATAACCGTTCTGAAACCTATTACATTGACCTTTATTTTTTCTTTTAGGGAACTAGGTTTTCGTGTGGTTTATTACACTGCATTCCTGTAGTTATGTGACAAGATAAAAATCCCAAGACAATCTAAAAAGCAAGCATGTAAAACTCAAAGGCTAACTGGCCAAATAATGTTTAAGTTTATGTGGGCTGCAAAAAAACAAAAGCTTCATTTTTCATAGAAACATAGGTTTAATTCGAAAAGTATGCTGTACAAACGAAAAGAACAAGAGCAATGATAAAATTAATGTTTTCTTCCTGACGCTTGGCATCGCTTCTCTGCTACTCTCTTTCCTACTTCGGGGAAATCTTGTTCGCAGTGATCACTTTCAAAACTGACCCCAGGTGAGCGTCGGTAATTCTGGATCTGACAGGAGACATATTTCTTTTCATAATTGTAATAACTGCTCACACCGATAAGTAGTTCCAAACATGGAAATAATTTCATATGCGAATTTTAGTCTGGCAGGAGGCAGCCGTTCATAATTGTAATAACTGCTCACACCGATAAGTAGTTCCAAACATGGAAATAATTTCATATGCGAAGTTTAGTCTGGCGGGAGGCAGCCGTTTTAGTTCACACCTGGCAGGTAAATATTTGTAAAATTCAGGCATACCAACTTCACTGAATTTTGCCTTCAAATCTGAATCGCACTGGATTTCAATTACCTCCATTTGCATTTGATTAGGTACTGATTCTATATTGAAAAAATAGAAGAAAACTTGTCTTTCAAACATTTAAAATTTGCAAATCTTGTTTCAAATTCAGTTCTAAGACAAAATTTTTTTCTGCATATTTTTGATACGATGTGGTTTCACCTAAACTTAATTTGTTCAGGTTGCAGGTCAGAAAGTGTGTTAAATCTTCCTTTTTCAACTGCTTTCCCCAAAGAACTAGCTTACATCTGAATGCTTTGACTTGGTCACACATATTTGTAATAGTCTGGTCTTTTCCTTGCAGTTTTAAGTTTGATTTGTGTGTTTTATATCATCCATGAAGGATAAATCTTGCGACCATATAGTGTCAAAAAACAGGCTTGTGCCTTGATTTTTAGTTATTAAGGACTGATATATTTCTTCTTTCAAGTCCCAGAATTGCGTAAGAACCTTGGAGCAGGATAGCCACCCTACCTCAGCATAGTAGGACAAGCCGAATATTCACTAATTCACTTAGGAAAGTGGAGAACTGTCGCTGATTTAAACTTCGAGATCTTATGAAATTGATAATTTTTTGATAGGTGTCATCACATTTTCCATGTTTATTATCTTCACCCATAATAAATCTTTTATGGTTATTTTGTTTTTTTAAATTGTTTTATTGCTTAAAGTATTACGGAGAGTATTATATATGTCTCCTTTGTTTTTCCCGCCCTTGACAATCCTCTGGCCTCCCCTACCCCCCCAGTGTCTTATGTCCATTGGTTATGCTTATATGTATGCATACAAGTCCTTCCATTGATCTCTTACCCACCCCACCTGCCCCCCAACCCTCCCCGGCCTTCCCGCTGTAGTTTGACAGTCTGTTTGAGGCAGCTCTGCCTCTGTATCTATTTTTGTTCATAAGTTTATAATGGTCTTTATTATCCATAAATGAGTGAGATCATGTAGTATTTTTCCTCCATTGACTGGCTTATTTCACATAATGCTCTTGGCATAATGCTCTCCAGTTCCATCCATGCT